GGGGGCCCGCCGGGGCCCCCCCCGGGGCCCCCCCCGCGGCCCCCCCCGGGGCCCCCCCGCCCTCTACAAGCCGCTGAGGCCCTGCCTGAGCGCCGCCGCCGAGCAGGTAGCCGCTAACGCGCAGAAAATATGGGTTTTATGCAGATAAAATACACATTATTAAAGTTTTATACACCTAACGCGCAGAAAATACGGGTTTAAGGCAGATAACACACAGAATATATGGGTTTTTAGATCCTTTTTCGTCTTTTTCTGCAGCTAAAATACAGAATATATGGGTTTTCTGCAGATAAAAGACAGAATATGTGCTTTTTTAAGTCCTTTTTTAGCCCTTTTCTGCAGCTAAAAGTCACATTCTGTCCTTATTTAGATCCTTTTTAGTCTTTTTCTGAAGCTAAAAGACACAATATTAAGGTTTTTATGCATCTAAGACACATCATTAGGGTTTTCTGCAGCTAAAAGACGCATTATGGACTGTTGTAGGTCCTTTTTTAGTCTTTTTATGCAGCTAAAAGTCAGATTCTGGACTGATTTAGGTCCTTTTTTAGACTTTTTATGCAGCTTAAGGACACATTATGGACTGTTTTAGGTGCTTTTTTAGGCTTTTTATGCAGCTAAAAGACAAAATCTGTCCTTTTAATTTAGCTTTTTGCGCAGCTCAGAGTCAGATTCTGTCCTGTTTTTAATCCTTTTCTTAACCCAAAACAGTCTAAGACCAGCAGACAGAAGCAGGAAAAAGTCTCTTTTCTAACTTTTTCTGTCCTCTTCTTCATTTTCTCCACCAAATGAAGAAAAAAAATACATTTTTTAGACCTTTTCGGCAGCTCAGTCAGATTCTGTCCCGTTTTTTACCGAAAAAACCAGCAGACAGATTTGGTAAACGTTTCTCTCAGATTCTAGACTGTTCTAGGTCCTTTTTTAGCCTTTTTCTGCAGCTCAGAGACAGATTCCAGTTCCTGTTTTTAATCCTTTTCTTAACCAAAAACAGTCTAAAACAGTCTAAACTCTCCCCCCCCCCCCCCAGAACGTGCCCCCCCCATCCGGCGGCCAGAAGAAGCGTGTTGTGTTCGCTGACAGTCGGGGTTTGGCGCTGACGGCCATCCACCTGTTCTCCCCCGGTGAGGACGAGCCGGGCCGGTTGGCCCCGCCCCCTTTGGCCCCGCCCCCCCGGGAGGAGGCGGAGCCTCTGCAGTTCGAGCTGGAGGCGGCGGTAAGGATCGTTAATATTTATTTATATCGATACTCCTTATCGATCCGAGTCTTTATCCATACTTTTCTGTTATTTGGTGGAAAGACGATGCGACAATATTTAGCAAATAAATAATTGTATTTTAAATTAAATGTAATTTTTAATAAATGTTAGCATCAGTAGTTTAATTATATATTCTAAAATAACAACTGTATTACTCATGTTTCTCGCCAAAAACTCAATTTCCCTTTTCTTTATGTTTCACTTGAACGCATCATGATAACCTAATTGTCGTTTTACTGAGCCAATCTGAACACGTCTGAAACTTTATTTACTTTTCAAGCT